TGAGTCGGCGGCATCTCAGCCCCTTCCCTTGACAGAAGCCTCTGTAGAAACCATTCCCCTACGGTGCACGTGTTGGCTTATCCGCTTTAGGTGGTCGTGCCGCAGAGACGGTGGCCTTCGGTCGGGGTCTGTGATGTCGGATAAGTGATGAAATGCAGGGCGCAGATCCGTGTGCTCCTCTCCGGCCCCAAGTGTCTATCCACAGCATCGAAGTTGCTGTCACTGTATCTGTCACCGTCAGGCGGCATTTATGGTTGAGGCAGTCCATGTGCTCCCACCTTGAAGCCTTTTCTTCTTTCTCCTCTTCCCCTTGTCTACCCTGACAATGTCTTTTTGTCTTGCTCAACCTCCTCGCTGCCTGTTTTTCACATGCATCTTGTTTTCCCCGCAGGCCCGCTCTCCTTCCCGCATCCCCTCCTGCTCCTCCAGGACCCTCCTCTCCCACTCCCGTGCCCCTCGCTGCCTTCTCCTGCAGGCCATCCATCCTTTCCTAACCAGGCTCCCGGCTTACGATGCCTCTGTCTTTTGCGAGGGCTATTTTCTGTGTTTGCTGCCATCCAGCAGGTTTCTTTCCCCAGGGAATCTTTACCTGCGCTTGAACCAGATGTTTCCATTTTACTTAGGACTTAGCTGCTATGGAAACTGAGGATGCACCAGGAGAGGAAGAGTGAGCTAATCAGAAATTACCTGTGGCGCTGTGTAATTTGCAGCAGCAGCTCTTACCTGATTTTGGCCATGATTAGGCATTCTGCTTTCAAAACTCAAAGGGAACAAATGATCACAGAGATTTACTTAAGTCTGGCCTCCTGCTGATGGAGGGTGCTGAGCCCAGAGGTGGCCCGAGACAACTTCGGTGGCTGCCCGTCTCCGTAGGCAGCTCCTCTGTTTCTCTCTCTGGGTCTGCCAAGCCACCAAGGGGGACCTCTACTTCTCCATTTTGTATTCAGCGCACATAGGAGAGACGAGGATTGGAAGCGTGGGGACTGGAATAAGAGCCAGGGCAGGTGCACAGAGGTGCTATAGCAGATGCCGAGACGGTAACCCTTTCCCTAGTAGGATATACTCTGATTTGGAGAGCCAGGAGCGAGCGGGGACCCAAAGCTAGCTGCCGGCCCCTCTCGCAGTTGTAGGTCTGCCTTGCCGCTCATTCCCGAGGAAGTCTCGAGCAAGCCACCTCCTGTTCCTTCTCGCCGTCTTTCTCCGTCTCATTTGGAGTGGTGGAGAAAAGGGACCAGGGAGAATTGGTTAAGGGAAAGCTGGTGCATAATTTAAGGGTTTACAGAGCGGATGGGTGAGCGGCTCTCAGCAATGTCACTGGGGAGAGGCTTTGATAGCGCTGTCTGTGCCAGGCACGGGCAGACCGGTAGCTGAAGGAGCCGGTCCCCATGCTTACGCTGGCGAGTGCTCCTCTGTGCAAAGGCACTTCACGGGCTTCATTATTTTCTTGGCAGCTGTGAGCCTACTGTGTGGCTCTTGGTGGGAAATGGAGCAAATAAGAATGTTTGCTCACTGGGGGAGCGTGCGGTTGGGTCCTTCAGAGGATTTATGCCAAGAGCAGCCTGGCTCCCCAGTGACTGATCTCACTCGAGACTCTTTTCCAGCCACTCCCAGCTCCCTTGACCGCTCGGCTGTTTTCTCACCTGTGCATTGCTCTGGTCCGGTGCAACATGCATTTAGCGGCTTGGTCTGGTAAGCTCTGCTGAATTTTCGCATCTGCAGTTGCTGCCACGTTATGGGAGCTGTTAAACCTGTTTTTGAGGCTCTGTTTGGTTTGGGGGCTGGAAGAGT